TCCTCTCCGTGGGCCTTAGCGCGCCCGGAGCCCCGGGGGCCGGGCGGGCCTGTGCCCATGTGCCCCAGAGGCAGCCCGGGGGGTCGCTTGCCGTTCGGCAGCGGAGGCAGCCAAGGCGAGCCGCGCGGGGCGAGGAGGCGCCGCTCCGGTTGCGCGAGCGATCCCGCGGGCCAAGCCAAAGCCGGTGCTGGCCGTGGCAGAGATCGCGGGAGGGCACCCGCCCCGAGCCCCGCGGCGCCGCGGGGCGGCTCCCCGCTGGCCGGCCAGACCCGGTGGGGAGCTGGGCCCTGAGAGCCCGGCGCGCTGCGCCGAGCATCGAGAGGGCGCTCCTCTCCTCTCCAGAAATTAGCCGCATCCTCATTCATACCATTAATACTTTTCGTGCTTCCTGGGGCGCCATGCTGTGGATGCATGCAGGCGGGAAAGGCCTCCAGCGCACCCGTCTCTTACGCAGCTTACGGGCCCTGCCCTCTAGGATCCATCCCAGAGCCGCGCGCAGGAGCGATCCAGTGGGTCCTCAGCGCAGGAGCGCAGCCGCAGCTGGGGCTTCCGTGGGGCCGCGTGACTTTTCTAAGGCTTTGGCTGGGCTGCCGAATCCATAGGGATGCCCCCCCCATTGCCCTGGAAGCCTGTCTCGGGGGGGGGGGGGGCTGAGAGGAGGGGAAGGAAACCCGCTTGCCCCAGGCTCCCCTGCCCCAAGTCGCCTCCCTGCCCCTTCCGGGGCTGCTTTCCTGACCGTGGACAGCAGGAGGCGGGTGGCCCCGGTGCCCTGCTCCCAGGTCGGCCTCGTCTCTGACCTCGGAGGGCAAATCCGGACTATCCAGCTGCCCCTTGGCCAACGCTGGGTGGCTCGGGGGCCAGTCCCCACCGTCCTCTGGAGAGGCAGTTCGACCTTTTAGAGTGGGGACACCCTGCAGGAAAATGGGGACACTTCCCAGTGGCGGAGGGACGGGGAGGGGGAGCCCTCCGGGCACACCTCCAGGACGCCCACCACGGCCATATCCCCATACTCCCCTCCTCGCTTGCAGCTCTGCCCTGACCGGGAGGGACGGTTGTGGACCAGCCGTGTTCGCAAGAGGTTGCGTAACGAAGGGATGGATGCATCACGGTGCACCGAGAGGCAGAGTTCGGGGGTGGCCCACTGTGGCGGGAGCCCCCACTTCCCTCGCAGCCCCGAGTGCCTGGGGCCGTCTCTGCCACCCCCAGGAAGGCCCAGGGTCTCTGTGCTACCGGCCCTCCTGGTGCCCAGGCGCTTTGGCCACCCGGCTGGGGAGCGGCTGCAGTTCATACTGCGTTTCCCATTTCTGATCGGGCTGATTAAAAACGCCATCGATGGCTGTAAACAGCGATGACCATTTAAGTGCTGGGCTGCCGGCGCACGTGACCCGCATCCAGCCAAGCCTGGCGATGCCCACCCTGAGGTCGGTCAGACCAGGCAGCCCGAGCGATCCGGCGCAACCTCGTTCAGTGCACCCCACAGATGCGCCGAGCAACCCCCACCACCGCGGCCCGCTTGCTGTGCTGGCTGGGGCCGATGGGGTGTGAGGTCCAGCACAGCTGCAGGATGAGTGACCAGAGGGGGTCTGAACCAGTGTGTTGCCCTGTTTCAGCACCGTTGTGTAAATTGCAGGTTGTTCCTCCCCTGTCTGTTTGTCGGCCACTTGCATGGCAGCTTTCTTAAGGGCCCCCGTTTTTCTCCCTAAAAGGGGCTGGAGACGAAGCAGGCACCAGGTCGGACGCGAGCAACCGCTTTGGCCTCTCCGTACCAGGTGCTGGGTGGGAAATTAAACATGTTCATGCACCAGTTCACTATAGATGTACTGATTCTGGGTTCAGCATCTACATTAATGTCAGTGCTTTTGTTGTGGCTATTTTTGCATTCATGCTTAACAACAAATTAACATTTTATTTTAAACCTGTAAAAGAAAACGAACAGAAGAGAAGGGGCCAGTTGAACTTTGTCCTGAAATTGCGAGCTGAGTGCATTGTCAGCTAACTGTGTACACAGTGGAACTTGAATGTTATTTTAGAAAAGAAAAGCAGCAGCATTGATGTGCTTTAGAAAAACATGTTTGTGGTCGTTAGAAAGAGAGAGAGGAAGAAATTCTGAATACGGCCTGAAACTGCTGGTGAAATACAGCATCAGCCAAACTTGTGTGAAAAGGCGTTGACTTTTCATATTTTTAAAACCAGTGGCTGGATGAATAGGGCACGTCTGTGTGTTTGTTCTTTATTTCTTTCTTTCATAAAAAAGACACCGGTGCACTCAGCAAAACGCTGAGCGTAGTAAACATCTTTCATGACAAAGAATGCAAACCCATGGCCCTGAGCTCACAATAGGTGGGCTGGGCCCCTCGCCTTCCCCGGTTAATACCAACACGCTCCGCGACCCCAGCCCCTCCGCAGCCTCGGCTGAAATGAGGGCTGTGCTGAGCACACGGTTTTTTTTTGGGGGGGGCGGAGGACGTGGGGTGGGAGGGAAAAGGACGGCGCATCTTTGTTCTCCCCATCATCTAGCAACATGGCTGGAGCGGGGACTAGCGGGGCGGTCGGCTGCATCCCAGCTCGGGTTACATGTGTGGCACGAATGTTCCGAAACCACGGGCCGTGGTTTGTGCCAGGCTGCGGAAACAGAAGGCATTGGGATGGTGCAGGATCTGGCCAAGATGGCATGACCGCCCACGGTTTGTGGAGGAGAAAAGAGGCGGCCTCGTTCTCCTGCCAAGCTCGCTGGCCAACCTCCAGCCGCTCTGCAGTCCACCCACGGCTGAAGGCGCCGCACGCCCTCCTGAGTGCCGGGCACAGGGAGCCCTTTGGCTTGCTAAATCCGCAAATGTTTTGTGCGCCCCCTGAACACCAGAGCCCCGAGGGCCGAAGGAGAGCCACGCTGCGGGATCAGGCCCAAGGGCCCCGAGTCCAGCATCCCGTGGGCTCGCTGGCCCACCAGCTGCCCCGTGGGAAGCCCACAGGTGGGGCCTGGGCAGGGTGGGACTCAGGCAATCCGCTTGGAGTCCCCGAGCCATGAAGCTTGTGGGTGACTTTGGGGCAGCCCCTGTCCTTCAGCCTGGTCTACCTCTCAGGGCTGGTGCGAGGAGGAGGACCAGGAACCACCTGGGTCCTTGGCTGAGGGGAAGAAGGCAGGCCAGGGATGCAGTGATGAGGACGCAAATGCCTGGAGTTGCGGGGGGGGGGGGGCTGGGGGTGCCTTGCAGGCCAAGAATGCTGCTTTTCCACTGAAATAAGGTGGAGTCATGGCAGTCGCAACTTCTCACATTGTGAACACTTGAAGCCCCGTTCGGACAACCCCTCTGTGGAGGCAGGCATGGCGGCAGGTGCCAAGATCCCGAGCAGCCCCGGCTTCTACATGCGCCGTTCAGAAGTGATGGCAAGCACACGGCATGTGTCCCGTCCGTGCAGGTGGGTTGTCTGAACAGAGACATAGCGTTGCAAGACCTCCGTGGCAGCCAAAGCGCTTCCAGGATGGAGGTGAGGGATGCATTTCTGGAGCTGCAGGCGTGTTCCTTATGTTTGTTTTGGCCCTGTCATAGAAGTATTGACGGTGCTTCACTTACTTCCTATGTTGTAAGCCGCCCCGAGGCTTCGGCGAATGGGGCGGCATAAAAATGTTTTAATAAATAAATAAATAAATAATTGTTTTTTATCCAGCAGATAGGCCCGTGCAGGAGTACTGTGGAGCGTTGCGGGAGAGGCCACGGGAGGAGCAGCCGGGGAGACATGGAGGCACGTCACCCACGGGAGGGGGAGGCCAGCACGGCCTCCTCCTCCCGGCACCGATCTGGAGCCGGAAGCAGGTTCTCTCCGCTTGGGGAGGCGGGGGCTGAGGAGGCCTCGGGGGACCAGCAGGACCCTCACCCTGGGACCACCTGGGCCAGGGGGCCAGTGCAGGAGAGGCGAGGGCCAGGGCACGGCCGCCCACCACCACCGGGAAGACGCGGCGGCGCAGGGGACTCCCTGCTGAGGGTCACTGAGGCGGCGGTGTGCCGCCCCGACCTGGAGGCGAGGGAGGTCTGCTGCCTGCCGGGCGCACGCATCCAGCATGTGAAGGACAGAGTGGAGCGCCTTGTTTGCTCCCGGGTCACCAGCCGCTCCTGGTGATCCATGTGGGCACAAACGACGTGGCCAGGCAGGGGGTGGTCGGGATCACCAGGGACTTCGAGGCCTTGGGGAAGAAACTCAGGGATCTAAAGGCCCAAGTGGCCTTCTCGTCAATCTTACCTGTCCGGGGATTTGGGCCAGGCAGGGACAGGAGGGTCTCTGAGGTGAACGACTGGCTTAGGGTATGGTGCCAGAGGGAAAGCTTCGGGTACCTCGACCACAGCACCCAGTTTCTTGCCAATGGACTTCTGGCAAGGGACGGGTTACACCTCACGTGGATGGGGAACAGGTCCTTTGGAGATGCTCTAGCGAGCTTTGTCCAGAAGACTTTAAACTGAGCCGGGGGTGGGAGTTCAGGCCCTCCAGAAAGTTGTTCATGCTGGACAAGTGTGGGGAGAGGATCTGGGCTTTGGGAACAGGTACTGCAGGGACTGACAGGACTCCTACAAAGACAGGGCCGCTATCAGGGAAGATGGGAGGAAGGAGGAGGCTGGGGACTCCAAGGAAAGGAAGCGGTGGGAAGGAGTTGAGGTGCATGCACACCAATGCTAGGAGCAAGGGTAACAATCAGGAAGAGCTTGAAGCTCTCCTGGGAAGAGGAGGGCATGACCTGGTGGGAATCACGGAAACTTGGTGGGATGAAAGGCAAGACTGGAATGTGAACATAGAGCGGTATCACCTGTTTAGAAAGGACAGGGAGGGAAAGAGAGGTGGGGCGTAGCTTTATATGTCAGGGAAGGGATAGGCTGCAGTGAGATAGGATGCAGCACAGGTGGGGAGTCGGTAGAGGCAGTCTGGGCGAAACTTAGGGGTTTTGACAGGGAGAGGGACCTGACAGTGGGGGTATGTTATCGTCTTCCAGTTCAACTTGAGACCCTGATGATGTCAGAGGTCTCAAGTTGGAGGTCAGACTAGATGGCCCGGGAGACCCATTCTTACTCATTCTGTTTCTATATTTCTATGTCCTGACAGGCCAGATTCTAAGGATATCTCGGGGGAGAGACACAGTAATTATGGGAGATTTCAGTCTCCCGGATATTAGTTGGGAGACTCACTCGGCGGTGACAGCCAGGTCACGTTGCTTCCTAGAAGCTATAAGGGGAGGGTTTTTCACACAGAGGGTCCGAGAGGCGACGAGGGGGGGGAAACATCCTTGAGTTGGTCTTGACCAACAGGGAGGAGCTGATAGATGAAGTACAGATTAGGGGAGCTCTGGAGGCGAGTGATCACTCCATCCTTGGCTTTGAGATCAGGGGACTGGGAACGTGCAGCAGGTCAAGCACCAGAAGCTGGGACTTCATGAGGGCCAACTTTGGCCAACTGAAGGCCAGACTGGGGAAAGTCTCCTGGGAGAGGGTACTGGAAGGCAAGGGAGTTGAGCAGGCTGAACATGAGCCAGCAGTGTGATGCGGTGGTCAAGAGGGCGAACGCCACCCTTGGCTGCATAGCCAGAAGTGTGGCTTCTAGATCGAGAGAGGTATTACTACCACTCTACACGACTCTGGTGCGCCTGCAACTGGAGTATTGTGCTCAGTTTTGGGCCCCTCATTACAGGAAGGAAATAGCCAGGTTGGAGTCAGTGCAGCGTAGGGCCACAAGGTTGGTGGCCGGTTTGCAGGGGAAGCCGTATGGGGCGAGACTGAGGGAACTGGGTCTCTCCAGCCTGGAGGAGACTCGGAGGGGATCTGTTGGCGACATGCAGGTATGTGAGGGGGTGTCACACGGAGGTGGGTAGAGAGACCTGAGCCCCCCTGCAGAGGAGGGCAGGACATGCCCCAACGGAGCAAAGCTCAGGGAACCCAGGTTCCATTTGGATGCCAGGAAGCACTTCCTGACAGTCAGGACCCCGAGGGTGTGGAATGGGCTTCCTCGGGAGGTGTTTGAAGCCCCATCGGTGAGGGTGTTCAGGGACAGGCTAGACATGCACATGGTGGGCATGTCATGAGCAGAGCTGGCTGGAGCCGGGCGTCAGACTAGATGGCCCTGGAGACCCTTCTGAGTCGCTCTGTTTCTATGTTCTGTGTTGCAGTCCAAGACCTCTGAGGGCGCCTGCTTGGGAAAGCTGGCCAGGGGATCCTGAGGGCACCGACTTTGGAAGGCTGGAGGGAACCAGCAAGCGGATGTCCTACAGATCTTCGGGGCTACAACTCCCACAACATGCCAGTGGCATTGATGGGAACTGTAGTCCAGGGCCAGGTTCCTTAGCCAGGAAATGCTTATTGTTCTTCTGGACGAAAATGGAATCCCCAGAGGGATTCGGCCATAAACTAAAGAGGAGGAAGAGAATGTGGAGGCCTGAGCTGCTGTTCCAGCGGCAGACCCCGCTCGAGTCCCCTTGCCCGGCCAGACAGGGCGCTTAGGGCACCGTGGGGTGCCTGTTTGCACCGGAAGAGCCCGCCAGGGCGACGCACCCGCAGCCTGCGGCGAGCGCGGCAACTCTCCGGGCGCCTGGACGGCAGGCACGCAGGCAGGCCTGGCGCGCCGGCACATCCGCACGAAGCATCGGAGGCCCGGCCGCCCCGCGCGCGCCTCGACGCACAGCGCTCCGCCGCGCGCGCGCCAGGCACGGGGGCGCGCAGTCCTCGCGCGCTCAGGCGGAAGCCCCGCCGGCGGGGCATGCTGGGAGCTGTAGTGCTGCGCGCGGGGCGCCGCCGGGGCCGGGCGAGGCGAGCGCGCCATGGAGGTGTAAGAAGCGGCGGGCGGGCGGGCGGGCGCGGGGACCGGGGGGGGGGGGGGGGACTGCTGCCCCGGGGCCCGACGGGGGGCTCGACTTCGGGGGGCGCGCGTCCCATCCTCCCCAGCGCCGTGGCGCCGGGAGGCGTCCTGCTCCTTGCGGGAGGGGAGCCCGCGGGGCAACGGCCTTTGCTCCGCGGCGCCTCCTCCCGGGCGTGTTGGCAGCGGGAGGCCATCCCCGCTCCCGCACGCGGCGTGACGGCCCACGCGGGTCCTGCGGGGGCGCCCCGGGCCAGGCGCCGGTTCTTCTGCCCAGGAAAGGCGGAAGCGCGGCGGGGATGAGATCCGGCCGGGGTGGCGAAGGCTGCTGCGCCGCGAGCCCTGCGTGAATTCCCTGTCCTGGGAACGACTCCCAAGCGCATTTTTGGGTAGCAGCCGAAGGGAGGAAATCTCCGTTTAGTTCCGATTTAGCGGCACAGGAGACGGAAACGCAGCGATCGGTAAAATTTGGTGTCGCCGGTTCCATGCTGTCCGGCACACAGGCACCCTGGTATCCTTGGGATCTTCTGGCTTATTCTGAAACAATGCAGACCTTTTCTCCTTTTTGTTCCAAACGCAATGCACCCTTTGTTCCTAATGCATTTAATCAATCGAGAATAATTCTCCATTGACCCGTGGGTGTGTTCCAGTGCTTTCCTGTATTGTGGCCGTTTCTTTTATGTGGACATTTTATAGACAGGTTTTGGTCATGGCAGTTGTGGAGAGAGTTCCCCAGATGTAGGCACGAATGCACAGGAGCCCTTCCCGTGCGTGAATTAAATTTACCTACCGACAAAATACAGCAGCCGCCCTTTTCGCAAGGGCTAATTTGCGAAAAGCAAAGGCTAATTTGCGGAAATTTCTCTGGGTCAGCAAAAACGCGATGAGAACTACACTTCAGCATGTTTTTGGAAGGGGCCTCTTCTCCCACCCGAATCCCCTTCCCAATGCAATTAAAAACAATGCTACAACCTGTGGAAGTTGGTGGAAGAGATGCTGAACTTTTTCAAAAGTGATGAGTAGGACAGTTCTATTCAAACCGTCGGCTGTGCTTGACAAAATTCATTGTCCTCCTAAATATGTTGCAATGGGGGGGGAGCAGGTCTCTCCCCCCACTCCTTTTATATAACATCGGCAACTTTCTGCTGTTGGTGTCTGTCTGTTCAGCAGAACCCTTTGTCCTGAGGATGCACGGCGCTCGCAGCTTTGTACGTGTTTTTAAAGCAGGCTTTATTTATTTACTCTTTACATTAAGGGTGTACCAGATGCTGGGGAATGTGGGCTCTGTTGCTCTCTTGTCCTGCTTATGGGCCTCCCATGGATCGAGCACTGTGTGAACAGAATGCAGGGTGAGACGAACCCTTTTGGGTCTGGTCCTGAAGGGCACGCCTGGTGTTCTCAAGGCACATCCAGTGCAGGCCGATGGTCCCCAAGCCAGTAAACAATGTTGCTCAACTAATAAAAGTGCCCATTTAGAGGTAGGAATTCATTTATTTATTTATTAGAAAGTGTTTTCTTAAGGCAGTGCATAAAATAACTGTTAGCCTATTTATTCATTTTGGTTTCAGAACAGAGGCACGGGGCACCATAAAAAGTCCAATTGCAGCAATATAGCAAGGGCTGATGCGATATAAAATCACATGAGCGAGAGACTGCAAATATCAGTGTTTCAAGGCAAAGCCAATCCGGTGCCTACTCAGAAGGAAAAGACGCTGTGATGCCACGGCCTCCCCCAGCTGTCCTGGGACTTCCAGGACTTTTTCCTGTCCAACATGGGAAAAGAAGGGGGTGTGCCTGGTACTGGAGCACCATGTGGCCCCAACTTTGAGTGCTGCCTCCCCTCCTTGTTGCCGCAGTTTAGTGAGTACCTGGGTCTGTCGGAGAAGGCAGGTGTGGGAAAGCAGGAAGTTACCTCTCTGAGGGCACCTCCTGCTTTTCAAGCAGGCCAGAGGTCCAGGCAGTGCCCCGTCCGTCCCCGTTTGCCTCAGCAGATGTGCTGCTCTTTGTGGGGTTTCTGCTGCCACGGCTACCTTGCCCGCCCCTCCGGAAGCCGACACTTTTGGTAAGCGAGCAAGCAGGGCGTGCTGAGCACACCTGACTCCGAGAGGCAGCTCTGTTACGGGCCACTGCTCTCTTTCAGAGCGGGCCAGGCCGGGGCTGTGGCCGCACCTCGAATTCCAGGAACGGACGGTGGCAGGCCGGGCGCAGGCCTTTCTTGGGGGGACCCGAATTTTCTGCCCAGCGGCTTCTGTGGGCGGCAGGCCAGGCTGCTCTGAGTCACGTTCTCCTTTAAGCAGCGCTGGGCAATCGAATGGGGGCAGTTTGGCTGTGATGGGGCAGGTCCATTTCCGTGTGCACAGACTCCCAAGCTGGACACGAAACCATGGGAAGACTCTGAGGAAACGTATCCTGCAGTGCAGTTAGTAACACATTTCTCTGTGAGACTTCAGGAGGTGGCAGGACCTGTGGCCTGTGTGCGGTTAGAAAGCAACCTCATCTCATCTTTTGTTCGCTGTGCTTTTTCCTAGGAAAGATGGAAATGCAGCCCTGCTCAGCAATTACGAGGTAAAATGATTTCAATTATTATGGTATTACAGTATGTCTATTCTGCCCTTGTTTCTCTGGCAAGGAGCCCAGGGCAGCTCGCGTGGGGGTCCATCCTCTCCATTTTATCCTCACAACAACAACCCTGTGAGGTAGGGGAGGCTGAGAGACGAGACTGGCCCAGAGGTGTCCAGGGACACGAACAAGGGGCTCCCCTCGTGTGGCATCTAACCACTGTGCCACGTTAGTGCCACGTGCCCCGAGGGCTCCTGCTCCCCGCTGAGGTCTGCCCACAGAAGCCGCATTCTCTGTCCCTCCGCGGCCTCCTGAGACTGGTCAGCGCAGGGCCTTCTCGGTGTTGGTGACCAGCGTGCAGAATGCCTTGCTGACTGGCCCTTCCTCTCGGTGCCTTCAGCTTCAGTGAAAGCCGCTCGCTCAGGTGCCACAGGTGTGGCTGTCCTTGAAGCCATTTTACTGTTTGCCGTTTAAGAGTTTCCCCGGGTCGCCTTACCATTTCCTTCTGCTGCAACAGGCATTATTTAGCTTGCAGGAGGGTGTGACCCCCCTGGGTTCCTTGGAAGAGGAAAAAAGCAGTACAATATCGTGCCACTGCCGCCCCCCCCTTCCTATATTTATATCCCACCCTTTTTCCTTCCAAGGAACTCAAGGCAGCTTATGTCAATCTTATCCTCACAACAACCCTGTGAGGTAGGTTGGGCCAACAGTCCTTGACTGGCCCCTGGGCCACCCAGCTGGCTCCACAGCTGGGTGGGGCCGAGAACCCGGATTGCCTGAGTCCCACCCCCCCACTCTTCACCACTGTACCCTGCTTCGCGCTGGGGCTCCGTGGCTCCCGGGGGGAGGGGGGGCGGGAGACAGCTGCTTTCTCCTCCCAGTGGAAACCAGATTAACAGTGGTGACTGACTGGACCGGAGGGCTCTGTCGTGTAAAGTGATTTCCCGGCCCCATTTTCGGGGTGCCCGTTCTGTGTGGGGCCTCGCTTTCAAGAGGGCTGCTGGGAGGCATCTGAGGGGGGGCTGCTCATGGCGGGGGTCTCTTTCAGGTCTACAAGCTGCTGACTGACCTGAAGCAGCAGCGGCGAGAGGCAGGGCGAAGCAAGCAGGGCTCCGGCCAGCAGAACCTGAACACCATCGTGCACGAAGTGAGTAGAGCCGGCGCCTTTCGGCCCCCGCCGTTCCCGCCGCCCGTCCCACGCGGCCTCCTCTGCCAGTTGCCGCCTCGCTGTCCCAGCTGCTTCCGGCCAGCTCAGGGCTCTGCTCATCCGGAGGTGCTCCCTGATCCCAGTACGGGAGGTGGAAACGGGCAGGAACTCAAGGGGGGGCTCTTCTGGTGCTGCACCCATCCATGGACCCCTCCCAGGAAAGGGCCACGTGGCCCCTCCGTGGACCAGTTGTTCAGGGTCAGTGCAAGACTCTTCGCCTCACAGGAGCGTTTAGCTTCCAACCTGCAGGTTTTGCTGTTTTTACCGTAGGTAATGGCAGCTGCAGTTCAACAGCCTCGCCGGCTGGGAAGCACAGGGCATTGCCGGGCCTTCCCTGACTCGGCCTGCGTAGGATTGCGGGGTTTCTCCTCTCCAAACACACATAGGCTTGTAGGACCTTGCACGGGATCGCAGCTTAATAGGGCCAGGGGCTTTGCGCTTCCTTTGGAGGAAGGGCAGGCCTACGAAATCCTGATGGGTAAACACTCAATGGCCTCCAAAAGCGAGGGGAGGATGCTGGGGGTGCTTTTCCAGTTGTGTTTTCAGAGGCCAAAGGCAGTGAGCTTTAGACTCTTGACAACTACCTGTTTACATTCCCTTCCTCATAATAGTATGTGTAACAATTTTAATGCATTTATTATACATTTTAAACTTTTTTTGAATTGTTTGTTTATTTGCTTGTTTGACTTGCCTGCCTCCCCATTAGCCAAAAGGCTCTCTGGATGGCACATAGCAAGCTAGACAATAAGAACAGTACAATTCATAGTACGTTTAACAATTTACGATAAAATATAAAAACGAACAAGAGGGATAAACTCAGTAAGTAATGAAACAGAGTAAAATAAAAGGTTAAAACAAGGTAAAATGAGATGAAAGCGGGACATAAATTAAACATTCAATATATTAAGCCATATAAAGCAGCCATAATTAAGTAAAATAAAAATTTAACTGGAGCTAAAAGCAAATATGGCAGCAGCAAATAACAACATAAAAACGATGTAACTCGCTCGCCAAAATAGTTGCAGAAGAGAAATGTTTTTAATTGGTGCCTACAGATAAAGAGACAATGCCAACTGAGTCTCCAGTGGGATCGAATCCCACGACTGGGGTGCTGCTATGGGAAGGCCCTTCTCCTTCCATCGCCCCTTTAACGGGGAGGGGAGGATGCCGAGAGGAGCCTCGGACGGCGCCGCAGTGCTCAGGTGGGCACGTGAGGGGCAGGCGCCCCCGCAGGCAGCCCGGCCCCGAGCTGTGCAGAGCTTTGTACGTCACTGTGAGCGCCTTGACATGAGCCCGGACGGCGCCCGGCAGCCACCGTGGCCTGCGCAGGACCGGTGTGACGCGCTCCCGACAGCCAGTCCTGGCCGGCAGACGTGGCGCCCGATGTTGGACCGGTCGCAGTGTCTGGGCCGTCCTCAAGGCAGCCCCGCATAGAGCGCATGGCCGTAAGCCAGGCATGAGGTGCCCAGTGCATGACAAGGTGGGATCCAGGAGCTCTCCAAGGCAGCAGGCCTGGCTGTGTCTGTCCCAAAACCAGGCCTGAAGCCCGACTGAAATGGATCCAGATAATCCGTTTCCCCCAGGAGAGCCTGGCGCTGCCCGGCCACAGCCCGCCCGATCACCTCGCCCAAGCAAGAGGGCTAGAGCTAGGGAGGGCTTTGGGCAGCTCTGCCAGTGGGACTGGGGTAACTGTGGGGTCCAGTCGCGACGGATCCGAGTGACTTTGTCCTCAAGGTGTTGCACGAAATCCTCCCAGCAGCCTCTGAGGGGTCTGTCAGCTCTCCCGTAGGGCCAAGATGCAGAAGGCTGCGACCCACCCAGAAAAACTCTGCTGGGTGACAGGATGCATTTTCTCTGCTTTTATGTAAACTGCTTAGAGGGTTTGGGTAAAAATAATACCTTTATGGGAAACAAAGTGTTTCTGCTCCTTTGAAATGAGACACACGTTAATGTGACTTTGTCACACCTGTAAGTCAAAATATGGCAATCTCTGAAGGGCCCTTTTCTTGTTTTGAATAGGAAGAGTGTCCTATACTTAGCAGTATTTCTTGCCCTGTTTTGAGCGTCAGCTAATAGATGGGAAACTAGCGTAATTCCAACATGAAGTTGGAATTCTGCTGGAGCATTTCAGCAGGCCCAGTAGAATTATTTATTTATTTATTTATTTAGAAAATGTCTATGCCGCCCCCTTCGCCGAAGCCTCGGGGCGGCTCACAAATATATCAATTAAAATATTATACAGTAAAAATATAAAACAAATTAACAATATAAAATAAGTCGCCCTGGCCGTCATCGTGCAGCGAAGGCGTTGCACCTGAAGGCTTGGCTAGTTTTCAGTGATGCTTGTAGCAGATAACCTGCTGCCTTTTTCCTGTCCATCAGACGCTGAAATACATCTCGAAGACGCCGTGCCAGTTCCAGAGTCCCGAGATCATGCAGGGCTTCCTCGCTGCCCTGAAAAACCACAAGTTAACCAAGTAAGTTCTTAGGGGTAATGTGTGAAAACAGACCAGAGCAGCTGCACCCCAGTCGAAGTGGCCCTTCAGCGTCGGGGAAACGCCACCGAATAGTAGGCGGCCGTCGAGGAGACCGCCCAGGCTCGGTCGGCAGGGGGACCAGGAGGGCCGGCGCTGGAGGAGCGGTTCCCGTGGGGCAGACCTGGCCCCGTTCCAGCCCGGCTTCCAGATCTTAAGCTTTTGGAGGAGGTTGACAGGTGCCAGGCTGCAAATGTCGGGAGTTGCGCTCTCTTTGGACCCGTGTTGGGAGGGAGGGGCAGCTGCCCCTGGGGCACACTGAACTGAACTGGATTGGGGGGGTGGGGGTGCTTCAGAGTGGGGCCGATTCCAGATGTTGACACGAGAGAATTGGAGGCGCTCCTCTCAAGGCCAGGCTCCCCGGATGCGCCAGCGGCCTCCGGGAATCTTTTCCCAAGATGTGCAGCTCTCGGAGGGGCTGGGGTGGGGGGCAGGCTCCCAGAGGCAGCCCAGGTGGGCCCAGCTCTCCACCCCGTGGCGCGCTGTCAGGGGTGGGGGGGCAGCCCGCTGAAAGGATCGGCGCACAGAGAGGAGGCGCGCTCGCTTCCAGAAGTCCTCTCCCGAATGGACAGGGCCCCAGCCTCCTCAAAAGGGGGGTTTCTAGATTGGGTTCAGTGAACCACTCTGTGCATGCTCAGAGGTCCCTTCTGGGTGCCTCTGGAAAGCGCTTTGGTGACTAAAGAACTTTTGCAAAGAAGTCTGAATGTGTGAAGGGAGGAAGCAGCACTCGGAACAGAACTCAGATTTTTATTTGGAGATCTTGAAGTTAGGGCTTCCGTGGATGATATGCAAATGCAGGCCACGCGGCCCGAAGGGAGCTGCTGCCGCCGGCGGCTGGGGCGCGAGGGCTCCATGCAGCGAGGACGCCCCGATGCCTGCCCAGGGGGGGAACTTCGGCAGTGCGGAAACACCGACACGTGAGGACAGGGCCTCGCAGGTCTTGCGGTTACCTGCCTGTTTCGGCCAGCTAAGCACCCTTCCCATGGATTGCACCCTGATCTGATGCGAGCTGGAGCGGGATAATGAGTAAATTGTGCCTTTCTTAAAAATGGAGCCTCTTTATTTTCTTTTGGAATGATAAAGTTCAGGATTCAGTTCAACCTTTTAAGAGCCATCTTCATGGGCTCGACTCGCACTGTATCATCGGCCAGGATATGGGAAGCCCGGCAGCGCCTACCTGTCCACCTTGTGAGCAGGGCTAAAGCAATGGGCGAAGACAAGGCCATCGATGGCCAAAACCTGTCTGTGTCTTCTGGGGGCAGGGGCGCTCAGTGGCAGCGCCTGCTTCTGTGCTCCCCGGCCCTTGGTTGGATGCCTGTGATCCTCCGAGTGGGAGGGTTGCAGGCGGCCACATTGCACGGCACGGCACACAGAACAGCTGCCAGAAATCTTTTTGGCAAAATGGTGAGAAAGCACGGTTTGGAAAGGAAGAAATCACGGCGTGCCGGTCTCTTTCCAAGCCCTGTGCAAGGGGCTGCCACTTAGCTGTGGAAAGCCAGCTTTGAAAAGTTCTGTTTCGGGCGCCTGCAGACTCTAAAATTGAAATGAAATTCGGCTGTGAGAGTATGTGCTAGGCCGGCGTGCTGGCAGCAGGGGGCGCTGCAGGACTGAGAATCGCACCCCCCCCCCCCCCCCCCCCCAAGGAAAGCCGGAAAGGAAAAAACCCTGAGAACGCCACTGAAGAAATCTCGGGGCTCGGCGGGCTGGGCAGCGGAGGGTGGGGCAGGGGCTCGGCCTGTGCACCGTGCTTCTTGCGATGAGGCTGCTGGCCCGGCAGCTGCTTGGCAAGCGGGGGCGCTCCGCGTCCGTCCCCAGCAGCTCTCCAGGTAGGGCTGCTGGTCTGCCACCCGCCTGGCTCTTGCTGCCGGTCCGTGTTGGCGGGCTTGTAATACATGCACCCCCCGCCCCCGTGCGGCTTGGCTTCTGCGCTAGCGTTTCAAATAGGCGATTCCACTTGGCTTTCTGTGGCTTGCAACCTTTGCATTAATGATTTCCTGGCGAGACCGAAGCGTGTGCTCATCAAGGGCGCAGCGACTTGCGGTGCTCGAAATCCCTGGCCAAGCCCCCGCCAGCCATGCCTTTCCTCCTGGGTGCAGAGACCAGGGGACCCACCTCAGAGGACGGGCAGGGCCAGAGGGTCAGACCAGCCTCCCTCCCAGATCTGCTGGCACCGAGCATCCCTGCAAGGAGGAGGTGGTCCCGCCGCCGTGCCACTTCCGCAGTTGCCGGCTCGGGTTTGGCCAATCTGGGGCAAGTTGAAATGTCTGTTTCAGAGCTGGACGGCGTCCCCTTCTCTCCTGCCTGAGCGATTTCTCGGGCCTTTTAAATGCTCGCTTTGCGTCCGCTTCATCTGACTTGCTCTTCTGTCCTCTCGGCTGCATTCGCTGGTGCTTAATCAAATCCTCAGAGATAAATACTTTATCTTCCTGGCCACAGAGGTAGCTGGCAGTGGTGACCTCAGCTCCGCTCTGCAGCCATCTGGCCGCTTAATGAGCTCGGTTTGTTTTGGAACAGGAAGCCAGGCGTTTCTGGAGGGAGAAAAACATGTTTTTTTGTTTTGTTTTGATGTGTTTTGGCCAAGTGTTGCATGGAAGGAGGCTGCACACGTGGGTCATTCCCCAGTGAGTGCGTTAGAGGACCCAAGGGGGGCAAATGCGAGCGGGAATGGAGTGTTCCCGACTCGCCCGTGTCCTCGATGCGGGGACCTTAATCCCTGGGCTGCTACCGTGGTTCTGGCACTCTTGACTCGTCAAGAGGATGTGTTCTCCCAAGCAGGACACCTGGCAAGAGGCTCCCTGCGGAGGCCCACCTGGCACCCCCTGCCCGGCACCGGGTCAAGACTCGCTCTGTGCCCAGGCACGTGGGCGGCGTTTCGTCACATGGGGGCATTTGCTCAGCCGCTGAGGAGGCCTCGTGCCTTGTGCCAGCTAGCGAAGCTTCTAGAATGTGGTTTCAGATTTGGCTTTTAACTCTTGTGCAGGAACGTGCACGATCTTTTTACTGTTATCTCTAGACCTTCCATTTTTATTGCATTTTAAGAGTTGTGGAATGCTTTGGCCCTTGTGTGGTATAGAAATGATGAAGAGGATGATGATTTACACTCATGAATTGTTGTGCTTTTAATTGTTGTACTGTTTCCCCTACAGTTTGCTTTGTTTAAACTTGAAAAACTTAATTTTACAGGTTATGTAAACAACTTGTGAACTTACATAAGTCCATGAGGAAATAATCAGTTCAGTCTTGGATGATATGATTTCCTTAAGATCAGTTTTATAGAGGTTATTTTAAAAAGAGGATTGTACCTGTTTGATAAGGATCAGTTTAAACATTTATCTTTTAAAACAACTATTTTTATTCCCCCCCACCCCATGTAACTATTATCCCGTGTAGATATTTGGATGAATAAGAATATGAAACTAATACTTCAGGGCATTTCTGTGCATATTTAGACAGGAAAAGGCCTGTGATCCAAAAATATGCCTGGGATTGTGCCTTTGAGGGCCTTATCCTGGTTCCTGCGGTCTGGATCACGGCCCGTCTGCAAGGAATCCAGGCGGCAGAACGAGCGGGGCGTTGTGTGCACGCTTCTGCCAAGAGGGGTGAGGGGCGCCCGGACATTTCCGCTTTTCTAGGGCTCCGCTTCGCCCCGCTTGACTCGCCCGCTGCCTCGCCAGCCTGGCAGCAGGGGCCGCCCCCAGTCCTGCGGGAGGGGGATCGCACGGCCGGGGAAGTTCGCAGGTGGGCCGCACCTGGTGGCCAGAATCCCGCAGGGGTGCAGCTTCACACTCTGCTTTTGCGCAGGGCGGAAAAGTTGCAGCTGCTCAACCACCGGCCTGTGACTGCTGTAGAGATCCAGCTGGTAAGTCCCGACGCTCGCTGGCACCCGGCCCATGTGCCCTCCCAGGTCGGGGGGGGGGGCCCTTCCTCCCTGCATCCCCAGGCGGCCCCGTGGCCCGCCGCGCCTTTCATCAGCCACGCTGCGTGGTTGTGCGGTGCCCCTCCGGAGCGTGGCCCGCCGCGCCTGTGAGTCTTGCACTGTGGCCCCCTGCGGCAGGGGGACGGGGCAGAGCCCGTGCAGGGTGCCCGGTGAAGGCCCCCAAGTGCTTGCGCAGCGCATCGCCTGGCACGGGAGCGGAGGGCACGCAGGGTTGGGAGGGGTGAGCAGAGTCGGGGGCTGGTGCGGGAGGAAAGCTGGCCCAGGAAGGGGCGCACGGAATGGGCCGGAGAGACGCCGCTGGTCGACGCTCAGCCAGCAGGGTCTTCATGCGGCCGTCCCCGTTTGATGCCCGCTGGCACACCCGGGACAGAGAAGGGCAGCCCACCTTCATGCGCCACAGAGCGAAACTGGGATTCACGTCCACAGCAGGGAGCAGCAGGCGCCTGTTTGGGTGTCTTTAAAAGCGGGCGGGACCCTCCGTGGCTCCTGCCCCCATCAGCCCTATGCCATCTCCGGAATGGGGGCCGTGCGCCTGCAGGTGGGGGGGGCACTCCTGCTGCAGAGTCCCCTGGGCAGCTGGGTGGCTGCTGCGTGGCCCGTGGCCTGGCCCGGCTCAGCTGCCCATCAGGAGGCTTCTTGCAGTGCCAGGCCTGGGGGGACCCCTGCGCCCCCTTCCCTGCTCGCCAGCATCACTGCCGGCTGCCCCCTTTCCTCCGCCTGTCCTGCCCCGTGGCTCAGCCCACGTGCAAGATTTGATTTTGATTGATTTTCCGATTTATATCCTGCCTTTTTCCTCAAAGGGCTCAAGGCAGCTTACATCATTCCCCTCCTCCATCTTCTCCCCACAACAACAACCCTGTGAGGTAGGTTGGGCTGAGAGTCTGACTGGCCCAAAGTCACCCAATTGGCTCCATGGCCGAGCGGGGACTGGAACCCAGATCGCCTGAGTCCCATCCCATGTGCTTAACCACCACACCACACTGGCAAGAGGGTGCCCACCCTGGCCCCGTCGGTCCTGCCAACCTCCCGTGCGGCTGCTCGGGGCAGGGCACGGGTCGCAGGGCGATGGGCGACCTTGTCTTCTGGCCCCTCGCAGGCCTTTCCCTCTGCAGCCCCCCCCCCCGGGCTGCGCTCTGGTTTCCTCATGCTAATGCCGGGGATCTTGTGCTAAGAAACCTGGCGGCGCTCCGGAAGAAATGTGTATTGACTGATGTGCTGTTGGGAGACACTCCATCCCTCAGCAAACAAAGCCTCTTACTTTAGAGGGAAATGGGAAGCTAAGCAAACACTTCAGCCGGATCCGCGTTGGCGGAAGCCCTGGGAGCCGTCGGGCCATCGATCGGAGGGAGGGGATCGCTCCATCTGCGCTCTGCTCTCGCTGCCCCTGCCTCAGTGGGGGAGTCCATCGGGTTGCGGCGGGTACCGGGCGGCGCAGAAGGCGCTGTCGGGTCAGTCCCCGCACCGCAGCCCTTTGCCACCCACCCGCCCTCCCTGGCTGCAAAGCCAAGACGGTGGATTTGGAACGGAAGCGTGGGGGCTCGGCATACAAAGCTGACTGTCCGCAGGCGCCGAGCTCCCTCGGCTTTCCGCATATCCCACTCTCCTCCCAGCCTCTTCTCCAGGCAATCGATGGTTTTGCCGAAGGAAATGAAATCTACGCTGTTCACCCAGTTCGTCGCTTGTTTGTTTGTTTACTCTTCTGCGTGGGAAGCAATCCGTGCAGGCTTTTTGCGTCGAGGGTAAACGGGCAGGTGCTGCTTGAAGGAGGTCACGGAGCCCGGCGCACCTGCCCACGCTCGGCTAAGCGTGCGCGGGGGTGTCCTCCCTGCGGTTCGGAGCTTCACAGCCGATGCGCCCAGCAGAGGCTGGGAGGCTCAGGGAGGGGGGCGTGCAGGCCTCTCGGGGACGTGGGGCAGTGCTTCCCCTTGGCCAGTCCCAGGGCCGTGGCAGCCCTGTGGACGCAGCGTGTGCCTCGGGGGGCACCCTGGCCCCTTGGGCGAGGCCACGTCCCCCCAGGGACGGGAAGGGAGAGCTGCCTCCTGGGCTCGGGTGGGATTCCCTGCCTGGGAGGCATGGCTCCTGCAGAGCCGGGGGGGGGGGGGGTGTGGAAGGGGGGAGCGGGGCGGGGGGGGGGGCTGAGGCAGGGGAGATGCAAGGCAGCCTCCCCCAGCCTGTTGCGCCATGGGCTGGGAGCGACGGGTGGTGCATCCCAGCACGGCCGGTGGGCCTGCCCTCCGCCCGCCCGTGCGTGGACAGCGTGAGCGCGCAGCCTGGTGCGAGCCGGACAGAAGAGGCCCCGCCACGTCCTGCCTCCTGCAGCCTGGCGCGGCTGGCGCGCTTCCTGCCCACACGCACGGGCGCTCTGTGCAGCCTCGACTGCCCCGCCAGCCGCTTCGGTGGGGCCCGCGGGCAGCCTGCCTGAACCCCCCTTGCAGCCTCCCGCCACAAAGGCCGCGCCTGCGGGGAGTCTCTGCCCCGTGGAAGGGGCGGCCTGGGTGTGGGGAGCGCGCCGGGATGCTGATTGCTTCTGATCCGCAGATCGTGGAGGAGAGCGAGGAGAGGCTGACGGAGGAGCAGATCGAGTCCCTGCTGCAGACGGTCACCAGCCTCCTCCCCGGAGACCCTGCGCGGGAGCAGCAGCCGGCGGCGGCCATGGACGTGGGCGAGGATGAGGAGCAGGGCCGGGCGTAGAATCCGGCCGGGGGCCTGGACGGAAACGGGGCACCCCACAGGAGCGCGCGAAGAAGCCACCTCCGGCCACCTCGGGGCTCCCGTTGCCACCGGGTCGCTCGGCCGGCTCCGTGCTTTGTGTTCCTGCTGTGCCCAAAGGGCGAGGATCACCGGCGGCAGCTTTGTGCGGGCGCTGCCATCCTGCGAGCCGCCGGGGGGATAATAAAGGGGGCTCGCCCCAGGCGCTGCCGTTGGCCGTGTGTTTCTCTTAACGCGGGCAAGGGGGCTGCTGCCACGCCGGCCTCCGGCTGGAGCGTTCCTCCCGTGCTTGAGCAGCCCGACCGGCTCCGCGCCCGCCGTGGCCCCGTGAGGCCGTGGCACGCGGCCCGGGCCTCCCCTGCATGCCGAAGAGCGTGGGACTCCTCGAGGGGCCCGTCGGCGGGCAGTGTCAGACCAGCCCGCAGAATCCTGCAGCGTGAACCTGTGGGACCCTGCCCCGTGGAGGGTCCACTTTGGGGGCTCCGGAAGATGCGTGGGAGGAGGGACCCTGCCGGGTTGGTGCAAGGGAGGAAGCGTGATGGAGAGCGGCTGCCCCCCACGGCCCCGGGATGTGTTGGGCGGGGATGCTGTCCGGCACTCCGAGAGGGTGCCAGGGAGCGGGAGGCTGTGCTGTGTTCGTTCTGGCTTCCAGGGGCCTGGGACAAGCCAGAGAGGTGTGTAGGGAGGGGGGCCAGTCTTCCCCGTCCCTCGTCGCCCTCGCTTGACAGAGGCAGGAGCCTGAGCCGGCCCCAGACCCCCCAGCTGGCCTTCCTCCCTTCCCCCCTGCACAGCCCTTCCCGCCCCACCGCCCGGAATTGAACGCTTCCCTCGTGCCAGGGTTGGCTTTGCTGCTCCCGTCCGTCAGGCAGTGCCCCCAAGACCGCTCTGGGTTCTGCTCCCCTTCCTTAGGGATGCCTTATCCTGAGGCAGACCCCAGCACCTTCCAGCCCAGAACTGCCAGCACGGACCGGCAGCAGCAGCAGCAGCTCTCAAAGGTAACAAGCAGGAGTATTTCCTGCCCTACCTGGAGATGCTGCCAGGGGTCGGACTGAAGACCTTTGCATGCAGAGTAGGGCTCTACCACCAAACCAGGTTTCTTCTCGTAAACATCATTTAAGATGCTGGTCCTCATTGTTGTAAAAAAGGACTGAGTTAAACAGCAGCACGGAAAGATGCTTTATAATGAAGCAGTCCTCATCTTTTATTGGAAGCCGTCCCGAGATGCTAGTGGTGGACAGGTTAGAAAAGCTTTTAACCAGCCAGCCGTTAGTCTGCCTAGCCCAGTATGGCCAACCCTGGCTGGCAGGAGCTCCCCAGAATGTCAGGCAGAGTCCTCCGTAGTCCTTTTGCAAAGCAGGTGTCCCCTGAGCTATGACTCCTGGCCTGCCTGTGGGTCACCCATGAACTCCGCTCCTGGCCGCCTAGAAACTCCGCTGCAGCTTTCCCTGGCCTTGGACTTGCTTGGACAAAGCAGAAGCACCAGGGGACTGGCCTGCTTGCGTCCCTGTTCACGTGCCGGCGTCGGAGGCCACGGGTGCTTTCGGCTGCGGGGTGCCTCGCCAGCCCTGCTGTTGATGCTCTTAACAAAACCTCGTTCCCTCACTCAGGAAAGCTGCCGCGCTGCAGTACACACGTTCAGTGAAGACGGTGTGCAGGCTGGCCCGGTCTTGCGTGCTTCGTGAGTCTGCAACACCGGCCCACAGAAGACGGAGCAGGTGGCTCTTCCGTGGCCAGGCGGCAGACCTGGTGCATGGACCGCCCGGCCTTTGCTGAGGAGAGGCCTGCTTTCCCAGGGCGTTGGGACCTGAGCCCTGATGAAGGAGGATGCTAGGCTGAAGGCTGCAGTTCCCGGGGCCCCGGACGCCTCCGCTTGGGGCAAAAACATGGAGTCTTTTGGTCCCTGGGGCTGTGCACAAATTCACTCAGGTGCGAATCCACATGCCCAAGAAGCTGCAGGAGGTGAAGAAAGAGACCCTTTTGTCTGAGGGGTTGGCTTTAGCTGCGAGTTCTGACAAGGTGCTTCCAGGAACACACCTTGCTGCCCGTGTGTCCTCATTAAGTCGCCCCCCCCCCCGCTTGCTCCTCCTGCTCTTGGTCCTTTGTGCAGCTTCTCAAAATACAAAAAACAGAAATGCTTGCAAAAGCTCGTGTGATTCCAACATATGGGAGGGAGGCCAAGTGCACCGCCATGTCGGGCTTTGCATGTTAGCTTGAATATTTGAATCGCTGAGAGCTGAAGCTCAATCTCTCAGGGTGGGCTGGAGTAGAAGATAGGCTGGGGATGCTGGGAAGCGTAGTTCAGCACTTCCAGAGGGCCGCAGCTTGGAGAAGGTTTGTGCTAGACAAGCAAATATTCTGAGCTGATGCAAGTCTGAATACGAAGTACTGCTCCCCAACCCGAGTGAAGAATGGGAATAGCGTTTCCTCTTAAGAAGCCTGGCGCTGCCCACACAGATCCCACTCCGGATGGGGGCCAGCAGCCGCACTGCAGAAGGGTTCCCAGGTCTGCCGCCTCCCAGGGATGCTGCGCAAGCGCTGCTGTGCAGAGACATAGAATCACAGGATCGGACACTGGCAGAGTTGGCCGGGGCCGGGAAGGCTATCGGGTCCACCCCCTGCCTTTGCAGGACACCAGGTCACACCACCCCACTCAGAGGGCTGCCCAGTTTCTTCCTGAATGCCTCCAGTGTGGGGGAGCCCCCCACCTCTCCAGGCAGCCGGCCCCACTGTTGCATTGCTCTGGCAGTGAGGAAGCTTCTCCTGATGTCCAGCCTGAATCTGGCGTGTTGCAACTTGAATTTATTAATCCCTGTCCTACATTCCGGTATCAACAAGAAGAGATCTTGACCTTCCTCTTTGTGATAGTACTTACAGAATGACACCATGTCCTTGCTCAGTCTTCTCAAGGCTGAACGTGCCCAGTTCCCTCCGTCTCTCCCCACAGGGCAATGTTTCCCAACCCTGGATCATTTTTGTCGCCCTCCTCTGGACCCTTTCTAATTTTTCCTGCAACTTTCTTAAATCTTGGTGCCCAGAACTGGACACAGTATTCCAGGTGAGGGCTGACTAGTGAGGAAGTATAGGGGAACTACTACTTCTTGTGATTTGGAAGTCATACTTCTGGTAATGCATCCCAAAAAAGCATTTGCCCTTTTGGCAGCTGCATTGCGTTGTTGGCTCATATTTTGCTTGTTGTCCACAATTACGCCGAGATCTTTTTCTTGTTCGGTTCTGCTGAGCCACTTATTCCCCATCTTGTATCGATGCCTTTGCTTTCTTTTTCCCAGGTGGAGGACTTGGCACTTGTCCTTCGTGAATCTCACTCTGTTGCTTTCAGCCCAGCGTTCAAGTTTATCAAGATCGCCCTGGATCTTCATTCTGTCTTCTAAGGTGTTCACTATTCCACCCAGTTTTGTATCATCTGTGAATTTGATTATCTTCCCTTGTACTTCCTCATCCAAATCATTAATACAGATGTGGAAGAGCAGTGGGCCCAGGACTGAACCCTGAGGCACCCCACTCGTTACCTCCATCCAATTTGGGAAGGTGCCGTTGATGAGCACTCGTTGTGTCTGATTTAGCAGCCAATTTTGGATCCACGTAATAGTTCTTCCATCTAGTCCAGGTTTTGCTAAGTTGCTTATCAGACTGTCATGTGACACTGTGTCGAAAGCTTTGCTAAAGTCTAGGTAGATTATGTCCATGGTGTTCCCTTCATCCATTTGGGAGGTTATCCAGTCAAAAAATGAGATTAAATTGGTCTGACAGGATTTGTTTTTGATAAATCCATGCTGGCTTCTATTAATCACTGCATTTTCTTCAAGATGTTTGCAGATGAACATTTTAATAATTTGCTCCAGAATTTTTCCAGTTGATGTCAGACTAACTGGTCTGTAGTTTCCAGGTTCATCTTTTTTCTCCTTTTGAAAGACAGGGACAGCATTCGTCCTTCTCCAGTCATCTGACAGTTCTGTTTTGCAAGATGGATCAAAGATACTAGCCAGTGGCTCTGAGACATCTGTCGCCTGAGCTTCTGGGGCAGCCTGTCAGCCGGCTTGGGCCTTGGCCCTGGGCCAGCCCCCTGCCCGTGTGTCTCTCACTCTCTGGTGCTTCCTTTGTGTATAGAAGGCACCACTTTGGCCAAATAAAGCTGGAAGAGAGCTGTGTTGATGCCAGGAGGACGGGATAACCCTGGTTCCTGCTGCAGATACGAGACACCGCAAAGGGCCCCATGACTGCCGCGCCACGCAAATATGCCCTTTTGTGGAGGGAGCTGGAAACTGCCGTGGCTTGAAAACTGGAGACCCACGTGGAAAGCTTTGGGCCTGGAGCTGGCCAGAGCGGCTTTGGCTGGTTGCATCTGAAGCCCGATTTCACTGCGTTGCCATTCCTGTGTGGGCTGGCCGCCCTGCTTATTTTGGGGAATCTGAGCATCAGCTTTTGACTGGTGCTTTGCCTCTGGATCGGACGCTGCGCATGGGAAACGGAGCTGCCCACTCCACGGCTGCGCCTCCCCCCCGTGACGGGCAGCACAGCTCCATGTGCCTCTGGGGGCACTCAGGCCCAGACAGGCTGCAGCTGCAGCTGCAGGTATCGCTGCGTGGGAAAACACCCACCTTGTCTCTTCTCGCTTCAACGCAACTCCCAACAAGCTCAAACCATCTGAACACTTTTTAAAAGTAGGACACCAAGCTGCAAGAACTTTACAGCTGAAAGGAAAACACCAAGTCTTCAGCAGCGGGAAAATCAAACATCAAACCTGGGAATAGCGACAATGACCGAGGAGCAACCCTGGGCACGTTTGGACAGAAAAAGCCCTGCAATTCCCATGCAGGCTGGGGATAGTGGGGCTTGTGGGATCTTTTTTTCTTCTGTCTAAATACACAGAGATAGATATTCATGTTGAAGGTTTCCTAGACAATAAACTGGTCACGCTCGGCTCCACGCCTGCCTGAGGGCCTTTTGAACATTTGAGCATCGGCGTTGCGTCTGATGCAGCACGGCATTTCTTGTGTCCCTCCGAAGAGCAGGCCCAGAGCCAGCCGGGTGGGAGCTGCAGGCCAGCAGCATTTGCCAAAGGGTAGGAGAAATGTCCTGCCAGAATTGCTCTGTGGACGCCCTGGAGGGGCAGCAGGAGGCCGGTAAGCCGTGGTTGGTTGGCCTTGTGCTGGAGCTGCCGCGACAGCCGCTGCGGGGCAGAGCCAGCCTTGA